AAAAAAAAAAAAAAAGTTTTCCAACTATTTGAAAAATGCATCCAATCCTTATTTTAAAATTTTAGATGGAGTAACTACATGCTTAAATAAATGATTTCTTCTTGCTGAAAAAAAAAATCATTCTTTCTGCACCAATTAAAATGTGATTTTATGAATATTGTACCATTTAGCTATTTCATGGCAGTATTTTGTGCATTTTTAAAATAAATTACCTTATGGTTTTTACAGTTTAGAGTAATAAACCAAGGAATTTAGCATAAGCTTCAAAATTATTGTAACCTAAGCTAATCATAGGTTATTGTTTATGCAGATAATGGACCACTTGCAGGGAGCCAGCAAAGTTAAGGCAGCATTGTAGACCAGAGGCCTAAATGAAAATGTGGTATCTATTTCTGAGACTATTACATTAGTAAATATTTAAAGGGCACTTGAGTTTTGATAACTTTTTCAAATTCTCCTACACATATTAAATCATAAAGTAGACCCATTTTGAAGAGTCTAATAAAAATTCATTTCAAATGTACACTGGTTTAATAATTAAAGCAGCCTAACTTAAGGAAACAACTCCTCTGAGAATAAATATGGGCTACTTGAAAAACTGATATATATTTGTAAACAGGTACACCATAAAAACTCATTAGATACCTACTAAGCAACACTACACAAAATTTAAATCTTAGGTCACAAAACACATCACTTTGACTTCAATATGTGGCTTTGTACATAATGTAGTTTACATCATAAACACCCACAGTTTGGTTTTTAAATACTTACAGCTTGAGCTTCCTCATTATCAAACATAAGCAGCTCTAGGGTGGAGTCCCCTTCCAATGGACGGTCCAAGTCCCATAATTCACCATTTACTTTGGCAACTACTGTGTTTTCAGCCAGTTCTTGACTAGTAAGAGAAAAGTCACTTGGGAGTTATCCTTATCACCTGCTACAATGATTCATTAAAACAAGAGTAAAATAATTACCAGGGCTTTTTTAATGGAAAGAGCATACAAATGTAAACTAACAGAACATATGTTTTTCATCTGTAACATTTATTTTAAGTACAAAAGTAATATATGTTCACTGTAAAAAACTGAAACTTCAGAACGAAACACAAATAAAATAAAAATCACATGCACACCCCAGTACCCTGAAATAACTAATAATATTTTGATACATGTCTTTCCAGTCTTTTTTGTACATCCACCTCTCCTTCACACATACACACATACCTCACTTTTTTAAAAACACAGTTGCCAACAGTTTATAGTCTGCTTTTTCAAGGTCATGCCATCAGACAGACTTCCAAAACAGTCCAGAAGTATCCTATTCATTAAGGAAGCCTCCACTCCTGCACACTCCGGTTACCTGCACGTCCTGTTATCACAACAGACTGCACGCACACATCCAGACACTCTGTGTCTTCGGCGACTGTTTCCTGGGAGTGAGTCCTTGGAAGTGGGATTGCTAGATCAAAGTGCACGTGCCTGTGAAAGCGTTCTGATCAGCAGTGTTGGGTGTACCACTTCCACACTCCCTGATTTTTTAAATCTTTTGCCAATGTGATGTTGGAAATTGTTGTTTTCATTTTACTTATTTGATTACTAATTTTCATAAATATTTACTGACATTTTCACTTTTATGAACTGCCTATGCCATTTGCCTATCTTCTATGGGGGTGCTGATGTTTTTCTTCAGGGTGTATGTGTGTGTCTCTTTTAGAGAACACTTATTCCTTAAAAATGATTGACAAAAGAAACACTTTTCAAGAAGAAAACTGGAAAGCATAAAAAAGGACAAGGAAAACAAACTGCCCTCAATCCTACCACCCAGAAATTACTGTTAACATTTTGCTGTATATCCTTCCCTTGATAAATGTATATACATCGATATAAAAATTTTCATAGTATCACTCTATACATGTTATTTGGTATCCTATGTTTTGAACTTGACAATAAATCACAGCATCTCCCTAACAGTACACAGACTTGTGAAACATGTGATTTCATGGCCACAGCAGAACCAAGACTTGCTTAATGAACCTACTTTGCTGGATATTTTGGTCATTTCTTTGTGGTTTTTGTGTTTTGTCTTGTTGTGGCATGCTACAATGAACATTCTTGAACGTGTATCTTAGTTCCGAATTATTTTCTCAGAAAAAGTTCTAGAAGTAAAACTGCTGTCAAGGAAATTACTTTCAATGATTTTTGGTGGAATATTACAAATTTTCCTACCAGGAAAGCTGCAAAAATACCTTTTCTTGTGCTCTCATAATGTTAGGTACAATGAAATTATGTTGGCTTTACAATATAACATGTTTTAGTTTGCATTTCTGTGAGTAACTGAAACATGTGGTTAAGATATCCCACTCTGGTGTCAGGCCAACCTGGGTTTCAACAATGGACAATTTAATCAGCTTCTCTAAGCCTCGGTTTTCTCATCTGTAACATGGGAATAATAGGACCCTCTTCATACATTTATTTTAAGAACTAAATAATGCATACTCATACTAACTTAAATGTTATATTCCTTTTAACTGGCTGTGACACACTGCCAAGGGTTCCTAAATCATTCTGTTTCTTCTTTGCTATGTTCCCCAGCCTTCCTTGTAGCTGGATCTGGCCATGTGACTAAGTTGGGAGGCAATGGATACAAGCAGAAGTGGTGTGTAGCACTTCTGTATCTCAGCCTTAAGAAAATGGAGTGTTCCCCTCCACCACCCCCCTGCCTTCTATGGACTACAGCACACATGTGCTGCTTCCTTGGGATGATGGAGAGAAGGGCCACACTGCACTGGACGGCCCAGCAACCAAACTGAGGTCCCTGAATGACTGTGTGGAGAAGTGCTGCCCTGCAGCCTGAGCCCCACACCCCAGACTGCCCTGTGAAAGACAGACTTGGATCACGCCTTAGCCAGTGAGTTTTCTAGGCTCTCTCTGTTGCAGCAGTTTGGCCTAGATCTTAACTAATACACAAGTAAGGACCTGAAGTAACAAAAACAAAACGTTGAGGCATTGGTTAAGCAGACAGGCAGTGGGTTACAAGAAAAGAGGTAAGAGTAGGTGGAAAGCCAATAACCCTTGTTTCCTGTTACAGCATAAGAAAATATTCTACAAAACTTACAAACTAATGTGCTTACAGTGCCTGTGGCACATAAGAAAGCAGTTATGAAAAGGCAGCATGTTAGTAAACACTGGTTAACTCTTGCAGTTTTTACAAAATACCATCAGAACAAGATAGGCTCATGTGGGAACTGTCCAGTTTACAAGCAGATGTGAAAGGCATAAGGCGGCTCTGTCTGTGGTCTGCAATCCAAACTAAGGGTAAAGCAATGTGAGGCTGTGCAAGACTGGAAAAACAATCTTCTGTCCCCAACAGCAGGAAGGACAGGCACTGACAGTCCTTCGCAAGGGCCGCACATAAAAACAAACTATAGGGGACAGTCTAACCATGAAGATTGGAGTAAGGGTGCTCCCCTCCCACCGCCTGTTGTTTCTCATCACCTCTGCTCACTAAACTGAGGGAGAGAGGATGAACCTAGTACAAAAGCCAGGGAACAAAAGGGTGAGCAGTCTCTGGCTAGAAGAATTCTTTAAGTGAGAGTACCATGGAACTGATGAGAAGCAAACAGAGCAGATGCCTACTACAGCTACAGCTTGAGGGAATTTTATTTCCAAATATGCTACCAGCCCAGCTTGCAAATATCTGCGACTGACTGATCTTGAAAGGATCCCTTGGCCCCCAAATGTACACCGGCAGAAACAGGGCTGTGCGTACAGGCTCCGAGAAGATAAATGGCCACACACTTCCAGTGTGGCAAATGAGGGTGATGGACACCCATGAACCTCTCAAAGAGCAAAATCAGGGCCCGTGGAGGACTGTAAGAGGTCAAGAGGGCCCCCGAGACAACACAGGGTGGCCAGATGGACTGACCCCCACACTGACCACTGCCAGGCTGTGGGCCTCACGGTGGCTGCCAGCAGGACCTGACGGCCTCTGTACTCTGTCTGCCATGTTGCTCCTTCTTCTTTTCCACTTTGTGATGGTCTTGTGTTTTTATTCCACCACTGTGTGTGTACGTGTGGCGTGGGCAGCCTGTCTTCTAGTTTATTTGTTGCTGGAATGAAAGGAGGTGTTCTGGTGGGAGTGTTTAGCGTATCACTTGGCAATCCCACTTCCAGCCGACAGGAACTGGAGTTGTCTTACTTGGGGAGGGAGTGTGAGAGATGATAAGAAAAGGTTGCTCGCAGATATCTGGATGAGAGGGGCATACTGTGGCAGACATCCCCTACACTATTTTCTCTCTCTCTTCCATGGTGAGAATGTTTGAGCTGGACATGTGGCTGGCCAGCAGGCACTACATTTCTATTCTCTCCTATAGCTAGGGATGGCTATGTGACTAAATGTGAGCTCATAGGATATACGTGGAAATTAAGGTGTGCTTCTATGTGGTCTTGGCCTCAAAGCACCATTGTTCTTCAGCTGGCTCTTCCCCCTGCCTGCAGGGAGGTCCACGGATGGGACCCAGCTTCCAACCCTAGACATGAACAAACGCTACCTAGCAGATGGCAGATCAATGAGATGGAAGGAACCTGGGTCCATACATGAACAGAGATGTCCACCAGTCTAGACTGATCATCTCTACACTGTTAGGTGAGAGAATGTGCTGTCTACCTAATTTAAGCTATTGTCTTTGGGGATCTCTTGTGGCTTCAGTTTTGCCTAATTCGGTGGTTCTTAAACTTATTCTTGCATCAGAAGCCCCTGGGGGCTCATAAAATCACCAGATTGCTAATTGATTCAAGAGGTCTGGGATGGGGCCCACGAATTTGCTTTTCGAACAAGTTGTCAGGATTTACTGCTGTTGGTTTGGGGACCACCTTTTGAGAACTACCCTTTTACGAACTACTATGAACCATCCTACACCCATTTTTTCTACTGGGATATTTTCTTAGGATAAATGGCTATGTATAGGATTACTGGATCCAAGACTTAGAGTTTACACATTCTAAGGCTTTAAAATCTTGAAAGAGATTATACCTCTTCATCCTCCCTCCAGCAGTGCCTTTTCTCCAAAATTATATCAATATTAACTATTATTCGTAAATCTTTGGTACATCAATAATTATTTTTACTTGCATTTCTAAGATTATCATTTCATCTGTTGAAGTTTTCATCTTTTTCCTATTAATCTGAAAGACAGTTGGAGAGCAATCATTTGTTTCATATACTTTTTTCACATCTGCCATTACTTTTTATGTGTCATTTTTACACACAGCCATTTTTCCTATGTGTTTAATTTTTGTAGATTGAATCTGTCCATCTTTCCCTAACGATTTCTACCTTACATGCTATGCTTAGAAAAGTCTATGCTCCCCCAGAGCATAAATAATAATCTGTGCAATCAACTCTCAAGTTAACCAAGGGAGTATACAATGTAAAGCTTTTTTTTCTAACTTTTTTTTTATACCCAGCCACCTCACTGGACCCCTTATTCTAATAATTTTTAAGTTAACACTGTTCTCTAATTCACTTTTTTAGTTTCCTCTTTAATTGTCCTTTTTCTAACTGTCTGAGTTGAATTCTTAGTCTGTTTCTTTTCATTCTTTCTTATTCGATAATAAAAGCCTTCAACACTACGAATCTGTTTCTGATCACCACTTGGGATATATTCCCCAGATTCTCAAATGGATTCTCCTCAGTAGAAGTATTTTTCTAAGAGTTATGTGCTTGTTTTAATTTAGTCTTGCCCAAGTTACTTTTAAGACTTTCTAAAAAAATTTTCTAGTTTTATTTTGCTCTGTCTTGTGATTTAATCTGTCTACTAAGTTCATAACTGACTTTACCCACAGAAGGTGAACTGTATGTTTCTGCGTTTTATTAATATTCGGAGAAGCTGGAAGCCTGACCACAGGTGCCAAGAGAGAAGGCCGTATCTCCCCCTAGAGACCAGAAACTCGGGAGCAGCCATCAACTATATGTAACTCAGACATCTTAACTTTTGCCTATTTGATCTGTCAAAACTGCAAAAGGCAGGTTAAAGGCTACCACTCCTGAGTTTCTGTAATTTTGTATTTCTAATTTGATGCTATGCTATTTAATTCATAAAGGTTCGTGACAAATAATCGGTGTGGATTATATCGTTCATCTATTTTGAAAATAAGCCTTAGACCCACTTGATGATATCGGCCCTGAATTCTGCTGTCTGACAGTAATACCATGACCACTGCTTTCTTATCAGGTGTGCCTGACAGAGCTTCGCTCGTCGTTTAGTTTTGGACAGTTTTACTTTTTAGACATTCCTGCAACCCCTCTATCACTGAACTTGAGGGCGGTTTTTAAGATGGTACCCTGTGGAAACATATAAGCATACAATGAAAACATGTTCTGTGATCAAATAACTTTGCTCCCCAAGCATGAGTAGGTTTCCTCAGCAAACTTCTTAGTCTTCCAATATGCTAACATGCAAACTGACTCTCCATAAGGAAACAAGCTTATTTCAGCCTCAAAGCCCAATTTTTCCTAGCACATCTATTCATCTCTCCTGAAACAGGGGAACAGGTTGGGAGGGGCTTCAGGGTGCATGATAAAATAGGATGAAAAATAAATACAATCCTAACTATAGTTTTCAAAGGAAATCTGAGGCTGAATTGTTGAAAAAATTTGCTTTTTAAACAGTAAGTTTATTTACATGGCAGTTTTGACCTATAGCATCCACAGAATTGTATTTATGCTAGGAATTAACATTAGTCAAAACAGCCTAACTTCACTAATGAATCTAATTTCTATGAAGGTCAAAGTATACTTATTCCAGGGCCAATTCCAGCTTTAACACATACATATTCAATCTATAATTAGTAAATCTTTTTGTACATTTCTAGAGATGCCTTAATTTTCAGAGTATTTCTCACACATAGTATTTCACTTAATCTTTACATCAGTAGGTAAATGGGAAAAGTATTATTTCCACTGAAGATGTAAGAAAACAGCTCAGAAAGCCTTCCTAAAGGAACTGTCTATATTGGTTCAAATACCTACCCTTGGTTATTTACTGGTGGACCAATGACTTGGAGCCAAGTCCAGCAAAAGACCTACAAAATCTCATGGAACTATCTTGACGATGAAAAAAGTCAATGTAATGTGGCCTGTCAAGGATTATACAGTGTTCTCTACTATGTAATTTCATTAGAACTTTAAAATTTGAACCCTTTAAACAGGAAGATACTGTGTTCTGATATTCAATTACTTACTTAAATGGCCTCTTTAGAAGGGAAAAATTACATTTTATTCATTCATCTGAGTAAGAAAAAAATATTTCAGCAGTACCAAAGAACACATTTTCACCAAGCTCTAGAGCAATATTTAATACTGAGTATCTTCTCCAAAGTACGGTTTACCTAATTTCAGCAGCCACTTGATAAGGTGTTGTTTTCCAAACTTCCCCTTCCACTGTTTTCCCATCAGCCACTCTTACTGTGATCACATTGCCTGTATTTCCTTTTTTTTCATAAAAGGCAAGTAAGGGCTGATGGTCTTCCTTTAATATTTCAAAAAGCTTCAATCTTTCCTTCATGAAGTGTGATTGATCTTTTGCCTGAAAATCATTGGAATATGGTAAAGTTAACACACCCCACCCACTTTTCTGTTTGACTCTAGTAAGTTGTAGCCCCTTCTCAGCACGTCATAGTTCATTTCCAGCTCTCACCTCTAACACTCATCATTTCTCACCTCCCGAGGACTTCTCTCCATTTAACTCTTTAGCTCTCAGGGTCCAGGTGAAAGCCCTCCTCTTCTAACTAGGACACCCACTGGCATCTCCCCTTTACACGTTTCACACACATGTACGCAGAGTCACACAATCCAGCACTTATTTAGATACCATCTTACTTTGTTCTCTATTTGTTTCTCCTGTTTGTCTGAATTCCTCAACCACACTGATCCCTTTGAAGCCAGCTATTGCTCCTTTGCTCCTATCAAATGTTGATGCTCGCTTGATACATACTCTCTGGTTGTTTTAACGAAAAACAAAGTAGCTAGCTTCCTTAACATGAAAGAGCTCTGCTATCTCAACTCAATTAGACTAAGGAGCATTTTAAATACAGCTGTACTGCTAGCTCATATTAAGTGAAGGTATCTTGTATCTAAGGCTTGTAAAGTTTTAAATATACTACTGTGGCCCAAATTGTAATTCAATTAGTAATTATTTTTAATTAAAAATCCTGGGCAATTAACTACAGAAACATATTTTTGTTACAGGTAGTATTTTATATTGTTTCCATGACAACTTACATCACTGTCAGGCCCAATTTCCTCCTTCTTTTCAATGTCCTTTTCTTGGCTTTGAGCAGCAGGAGGCTGAAACATAAAGGTAAATTATAAACATCTCATGTCAATGATTAGAAAGAGCAACACATACGAAACCTGAGAAAGAAGAGAGACCTGCCAGCAGGCAGCAGGTGTCGCACATTGGAGGCTGGGCTCTCCTGACCACTGCGTACAACCTTCAGCGGGCAAAACTGTTTTCTGGGATTCCATCCTTACTGTCTGCACATTTTCACACACTCTTGCGAAGCATGTTTAATGTATTTTGCTTTTTAAAATAGTTTTCCCCTAAACTTTAAACAGTTTCGCTGGGAATGGCTGTATAGTTGCAGAGACTTTAAATGCACTATTTCATCAGGACGTCGGTGTGCCACAGTTACCCTTGGTAACGAACTGAAGACCACCCCACAGTCTAAGAAAAACTTCATAACTTAGAAAATGTATTATGTTACGGGAAGATGATTTGTCCTTCAATGAACCAAAATAAAATATTCTATCATTAAATAACAATGTTGGACAGGTCAAGGCAGACCACCACACCAGCGAACAGAAACCACCTGTCGTGAATAATTCAGAACCAGTAATTCATGAGAAAGAATGGAAGGGTTTATAAACGTAGCTGTTGGGTCTTCCTGCCCAAGTTAAAAATAGTGAGTTTTAAACACTCCAGCATGTTTTCCAAAGGAGACTGCTATTTCTCCTATTAAAGAAAATGCGTAGCAGCAATTTACTGGAAGAGCTGAGAAATTACACTACATCAGACAAGCGATTGCTGGAAACGCAGGGGTCTCAGGGCGTCCAGGCGCATCCCTGGCTCCCCAGCGAGCAGGACTCCGCGAGGGGCAGATGCTGCAGGGCCCTGGGCGCGGCGGGCACACCCCGCAGGCTCCGCCCGCTCCCGCCTCTGCTCCTCCCGGGTGGAGAACCGCTTCGTGAGCGCCGCCGCGACGCGGGGCACAGCCGGGGCTCTGGGAGGCGCCGCCCCGCATTCCCCGCAGAGAGTCCCGCCGCCCCGGTACCTGCGCGGAGGCAGCCGCGCGCCCTGCCCCCTCCTGCGCCGCCGCCGCCCGCGCCGCGCTCGGCAGCTCGGCCTGGTGGCTCAGCCCCTCGGCGAGGCACAGTCGCAGGCGGTACAGGTGGTGGCGCAGGTCGCGGTTCTCGGCCCGGAGCAGCGCCACCTCCCGCGTGAGGCGCGGCCCCTCGTCCGGGCCCCGGTCGGGCGCGTTCAGCTGCTCATCTCTTAGACGCTGGACCTCCGCCCACAGCCAGCGGATGTCCTCCTCCTGCCGCTCCAGGCGCGAAGCCACGGCCTCCGCTGCCAGCGCCTCGGCCGCCATGGCGCCCGCCTCCCTCAGGCCCGAGGTCGCGCGGCGTGGGAGAAGCAGGCGCGGCGCGGAGGACGGAGCTGCGGCGAGCACGCGAACAGCACCGGGAGGGGAAGAGCGGGACGAGCTGCCGGGAGCCCCGCGTGCTGGAGAGCGAGGCGGGGCTGGGGGAAGTACAGGCCGACGGGGCGGAGCTATGGGAGCGCGAGGGGCGGGGCCACGGGCTGAGGCGGGGCCTAGGGGCGGGGCGTGGGCAGGGCCGGGGGCACGGGGAGAGGCGGGGCCCCGGGGAGCGCTGGAGTGTGACTGTAGGGGGCGGAGTGGGGCCAAAAGAACTAGGGTACGGGGAGAGGCAAGGCGGGGCCGCGGGGGACTGCACGCCGCAGGCGAGGAGGCGGGGGGCGGGGCCGCGAAGACTGCCAGGAGGGGGGTGCCGACTGGGAGAGGCGGGGCTGTTGTTAAGGGCACCGCAGGGGCCTGGGGCGGGTCTGCCCAGGCCGGGCACGGGGCCGGGGTGGGTGTGCCCTGCGTGTGTACTCCAGGTGGCCAGGGCTTGTAGAGTTGTGTCGGTTCTGAATAGGCTCGCGGTGCCTGCAGGGCTATCAACATGTTACACCATTCTTTGGTTGAAAGGTGAAGCGTCCAAAACCTTGGGAAGGTTAACATCTCCCTCCCCAGCATGGCTCCTGTTTTCCCCTTCGTGAATTCTAGCAGTCACCATTCTTTCAACTGGCAGCTCGGTTTTGAAAAGAAGCCATTGAAAATCGACCTTGTATGGTCCTCATGCCAAAAGTGCACTGGCTGCTGGGCCAGGACCCCCAGAAGATCTCTACGAATATTTAAATCTGACCAGCAATGGCTAGCTTTGCTAAGGGTTAGAGCAAATACCACATACATCTTTGTATCCGTCATAACCACAGGCACGAACCTTCCTGTAGTAGGAACACAAGTTGACTTTTATTAACAATATTAGGGCTTAGAATGTGGCAAACACTGTTCTTAGCTCTTTACAGATATTAATTCCTTTAATACTTTTAACAAGATACTATTATAATATCCACTTATAGATGGATAAACTGAGGCACAGAGAGGCTAAATGACTTGACCAAGGTCACGCAGCCATTGCATGAACGGCTGAGATCTAAACTCAGTCAGATGCCAGGGTTTAGGCACTTCACATGATGGTGCCTTTCAACGTTGGTAAAAAGAATTTGAGGATGTTGAATTTTTTATTATTAAACTGTTCTTATTTTCCTGCAAGGCTGTTGCTTCACTGTATGAAATAGCACCAGCAAACACAGTACACTGCAAAATGAAGATGGTCTTGTTCCTCATCTGACAATGTACAACAAAAACTTTTTTCCACTGCCAGGTGTTTCCAATGGAAATATTAATGGATATAAGCAAATCATAGAAGGCTTAAGATAACAATGTTATCCTTGAATTACATAATTTTATACCTAGTTTTTACCACAGGTACTTGTAACAGCTCTGAATACTATGCCTAGCCTAAAAATCATAGGGTATTATGGAAAAGATGCATATTGGGTTTATCTGCAATCATTATTAAGTTAAGGGTTATTTTCTTCCAACAGCATTTTTGCAACTAGTTTCTTTTTCCATTGGCACTGCTAAAAGTTGCTATTTAAAATTTTCTATCCACCACTGATTTAAGACAACTAGGCTAGGTAAAGTTGTCTCATTCTAATTTATTTAGGGCTTCCATTTTCATTCCTCAATAGACTTCATGCATTTCTCATATGCTTCTTCCCTTAGTCCATTTAGTTCTGAAGGATTATTCAGTGTGACCTTGGTCAGCCAACCGTCTTCGTAACAAGATTGTCGAAAAGCCTTGGATATTCAGCAAGCGCTTCATTAATTTCAGTTACTTCTGATAGAGAACTGAGTTCACTGGCAGTTTTCACACTTTCCAAAGCTCCAAACTCATCATGTTTGTTCAATTTTGTCCCAACTGCAGGCAGAGTGCATCTCCCAAAGCTTCCTGTGCAAAACTGCTGATTGTCACTATTCCGATACCATTCTGTTGTATTATCCATTCATGTTTGTGAATTGACGCACGGAACGCAGGGCAGCCCCCAGGGTAGCAGCGAGCACCGAGGCGGCGCGCAGGCTGCAGACCGCGGCTCCCTCGCTCCCAGCCTCTCGCAGCGCCGTTTTCTCAGGAGTTTGAGCGTCGCGGAGCAGCGCCTATGACACTCCAACGTTGGTAGAATTTAACTGAACATGTCATATACCAAGATACAGGTAATAAATGCCACTGGAGTTCTAAAATGCGAGAGCTTAGCTTGGACTGATGCAGGTAAGACAGGAGGAATTGCTCTGGAAATAAAAGGTTGGCAGCTGTTCGGAAGGTGGGGAGGTGAATGGATGCCACTCTAGGAGCAGAATCAGGCTGCCAGGAGAAGTTGACCCTGGGCAAGCTCATTGAATTAAGCTCACTGAAATCACAAACAGCTTCCTGGAAGAGGTTCCATAACGTATGGCAGTGAGACCACTGTATCTTTCTTATTCCCTTCCCTGGTTGAGCTTCTGCACAGTCATACAGACTCCCCGGCTCTACAGTCTTCCCAGTTACTCCTCAGCCCACTGCCATCGGGTTTCCACTCCTCCCGTTCAGCTGTGACCTGCATACCGTGAAATGCTGTGGGCCTGCTTGGGCCGCCAAAAGTGATCTCAAGACTTCTTTGTAATTTGTCTCTCTTGGTTCCCCCACCCCCAATCCCGATCTGTCTTCTGTCACCGGAAGTTTATTTGCATTTTCTGAAGTTTTCTGTAAGTGGAATCATGCAGTATTTACTCTTTCAGTTTGGCTTCTTTCACTCAGTGTAATAATTTTGAGACTTACCCAAGTTGTTGGGTGTTTCTTCTCTTTCTTTCCTCCTTCCTTTCTTCCTTTTCATGAGCAGTGTTTCACTGTATGTATATACCACAATTTGTTTATCCATTTTCCCATTGTTGGACATCTGGCTGGTTTCCAGGCTGGCGCTAGGATCTGACAACGAACTCCTCTGGGCCCCAGACTCAGGCTCGGGGGAATCGAAAGCCTGACTCTGAAAACATGAACAAAATGGACGAACCACTGACTTCTGTTACCTTCTGAAGAAAATGAAAGATGGCACAAATAGATTAAACAAGAAAGGATACAGAGGAAACTAAAACAGAAGAAATTTAATAAATTACTTGCGACTATATACCTCTGTAAATAAATTTTAAAACCGAAAAGAAAATGAAGTTTCTTAAGCAAATAAAGTTATTCCAACATAAATTGAAATATTAGGCATATCAATTTACAAATAAGAAATAAAGTTATATGAAAAACTACCCTGCAAAAAGCACCAGGCCCAGATGATTTCACAGGAGACACACTATCCCTACTAGATATTAAAACATACTACAAAAGCTCTAAAATTAAGAACATGGGAAACTGGTGCATGAATAGACAAACATATCTATAGAATAGAACAGAAAGTCCAAAAGCAGACCCAAGTTCATAAAAAAATCTGGTATATGGTCAAGGTGGTATCTCAAATCACTGGGGCAAATACAATCTTTTAAAAAGTGATATGGGGGTAAAAGAGGCCAGAAGGTACAAACTTCCAGCTATAAAATAAGTCCTGGGGATAAAATATACAGCATGGCTACTATGGTTTATGTATGTAATGCTATCTTGTACATTTTAAAGGTGCTAAGAGAATAAATCTTAAAAGTCCTTATCACAAGAAAAAAATTTATAACTATATGGTGACAGATATTAACTAAACTTCTTGTGATCATTTTGCAGTACATCAAAATATACAGTCATTATGTTGTATGCTTGGATACAATGTTATATGCCAATTATACTTCAATAAATGAAAAATAAAAATGGTATGGGGATTTTAATAGACAGTATAAGGAGAGCTCAATTGCCATCAGTCAAAAGATTTAATTGAACCCACCCTTACATATCATACACAAGAATGAACTCAAAGTGAATGAGAAATCTAAGTGCAAAAATTAAAACTATGCTAGTATTGGAGAAAACATAGCTGAGTTCCTCTTTAACCTCGTAATTGGCAAGGACTTCCTAACTATCAGGTAAAATCCAGAGGTAATTCAAAGACAAAGGGTGGATACATTTGACAATTTAAAAATAAAAAAGTTCACATAGTAAAAATCACTATAAGCAAGTGAAGAAAACACAGCAAATTGGAAGGTCTAAATGTACACCACGAATCTCCCAAATGTCTACAGACTTTAAAAATGATTTAAAAATCCCTTAGAAAAATGGGAAAAAGATGATTTATGAAAATAGAAAAATAACCTTAAACATAGTAAAAATGCTTAATCTTACCAATAACAGGAAAATGCAAATTTGAATTATATTAAGATACTATTTCTCACCCATCTGCTTAGAAAAATTCAAAAGTTTGACAGTTCTGAATGCAAGACATGAAACCATAAAACTCCTAGGAGAAAACAGGTGGTGAGCAACTTAACATCAGTCTTAGCTATTTTGGACCTGACACCTAAAGCAAAGGCAACAAAAGCAAAAATAAACAAGCAGGACGACCTCATACTAAAAAGTTTCTACACAGCAAAGGAAACCAACAAAAGGAAAGGGCAATCTACTGAATCGGAGAACTTATTTGCAAATCATACATCTCATAAGGGGCTAATATCCAAAACATGTAAAGAACTCATGCAACTCAATAGCAAAAAAAAAAAAAAAATCTGATTTAAAAAATGGGCAGAGGATCTGAATAGACATTTTCCTGAAGAAGATCTAGATAACCAAGAGACATATTGAAAAGATGCTCAGCATCACTAATCATTAGGGAAATGCAAATCAAAATCGCAATGGCATATCACTGCACACCTGTTAGAATGGCTGTTATCAAAAGACAAGAAATAACAAGTGTTGGCAAGGATGTGGGAAAAAGAGAACCCTGGTACACTGTCAGTAGGAATAGAAACAGGTGGAATGGAAAATAGTGTGGAGGTTCCTAAAAAAATTAAAAATAGAACTACCATATGATCCAGAAATCCTGGTTCAGATTTATTTATCCAAACAAAATGACAACACTCACTTGAAAAGATATATGCACCCCTGTGTTGCAGCATTACTTACAATAACCGAGATACAGAAATAACCTAAGTGTCCATTGACAGATGAATGAATAAGGAAAATGTG